CACACTAAAATGGCAAAAACGGAGACCCAAAACGGAGAAGTTTAGAAACGCTGCCGATCCGTTTTTAGTTTTAAATCTCCGGAGGGCGTTTTAGTGTAGACGGGTCAAAACTTTATAAACGATGACGTGGTAGAGGCTCACGGCTCTATGATTGGGTGTCATCAGTCATGGCGTATATCTTTGCTAGCAGCTGTTGTACAAGTAAATTCTGCATTTTACAACGCTATAACTGCCTACATGCGCCGGAGTCAAGCTATTATTCGAGCGATCTGTGACAATTCCCGTGTGCAGCGGCGGCGTTGACCGTACATGGAGCGTCGGTTTGAGGTTAACCCAGAGCATGGTGGGATAATTTTATCAATGAAGTTGTGTTTACACCGGCACGCGCATGCCCAGTGTTGGTGAATGGTCACGTGATCCGTGTTTTCAGTCGTTTTAATGTGGACGGAGATCAATTCTAATACGCAGCTAAAACGCTGGTGTGGACGAAGATCGTATTCGTTTTAATTATCCGTTTCTAAACTAAAACGCAGTAGTGTGGATGGGGCTTAAATTTGCCGGAAGTTGTCTGGGTTTTCCCAGGCTAGTACAGCAGTGAAATTTGCTATGCATTTGGCCTGACAAATATTCATTTTGGTCTTGGTTTAAATGATAAATTGATAAATATACAACAATCTACATACAACAATTATTCATGGTCCTCCTCGGTTTTGATTTGCCAAGAGTGCTGATTTTTAGTTTAGTTTTTTTCTGTTTTTTCCATTTCTTGTCTGTGTTCCCTTGTGAATAAGTACACTTTACCATACTTTTAAAAAGAATACTTATTACGGAAATAATACTTTTAAAAAAGTAAGACCCCAATATACTTCAAGGGAAATCGAAGAACGGACTGGTGTGACAAAATCAGGCCAAAGCGTAATTCGTTTAGGGAGTAGACATCCATGAGTAAAAACATGAATGCACTCGATCTGCTTTATAGTAGAAACTGAAGTTGTGATTCAAATTGAAAGAGACACTCGTATTTAAAGGTGCAGTAAGCGATTTCTGGTAAACGTTATTGATATTTGAAATCACCAAAACAAACAAGCCCCTTCCCAAAAGGATCACAACATGCACACTATCCACACAGTCAATGAATGACTAGGCCAGAATCTGTATTTCGAACTTCTTTTTACACCTAAGCGAAGAACAAAAACAAACTTTGCACGTTCGCCGGGAGTAGATTTAGAAACCCTTGTTATTAGCGACACCAGTGGCCATTAAGTGAACTGCAGCCAGCAACTTATTGCTCATGCTGCACTCCTGCACACATACTGGTCCTTCTCAAAAAATTAGCATATTGTGATAAAGTTCATTATTTCCCATAATGTAATGATAAAAATTAAACTTTCATATATTTTCGATTCATTGCACACCAACTGAAATATTTCAGGTCTTTTATTGTTTTAATACTGATGATTTTGGCATTCAGCTCATGAAAACCCAAAATTCCTGTCTCAAAAAATTAGCATATCATGAAAAGGGTCTCTAAACGAGCTATTAATCTAATCATCTGAATCAACTAATTAACTCTAAACACCTGCAAAAGATTCCTGAGGCTTTTAAAAACTCCCAGCCTGTTTCATTACTCAAAACCGCAATCATGGGTAAGACTGCCGACCTGAGAGCTGTCCAGAAGGCCATCATTGACACCCTCAAGCAAGAGGGTAAGACAGAAAAAAATTTCTGAACAAATAGGCTGTTCCCAGAGTGCTGTATCAAGGCACCTCAGTGGGAAGTCTGTGGGAAGGAAAAAGTGTGGCAAAAAACGCTGCACAACGAGAAGAGGTGACCGGACCCTGAGGAAGATTGTGGAGAAGGACCGATTCCAGACCTTGGGGGACCTGCGGAAGCAGTGGACTGAGTCTGGAGTAGAAACATCCAGAGCCACCGTGCACAGGCGTGTGCAGGAAATGGGCTACAGGTGCCGCATTCCCCAGGTCAAGCCACTTTTGAACCAGAAACAGCGGCAGAAGCGCCTGACCTGGGCTACAGAGAAGCAGCACTGGACTGTTGCTCAGTTTTGCATGTCATTCGGAAATCAAGGTGCCAGAGTCTGGAGGAAGACTGGGGAGAAGGAAATGCCAAAATGCCTGAAGTCCAGTGTCAAGTACCCACAGTCAGTGATGGTCTGGGGTGCCATGTCAGCTGCTGGTGTTGGTGCACTGTGTTTTATCAAGGGCAGGGTCAATGCAGCTAGCTATCAGGAGATTTTGGAGCACTTCATGCTTCCATCTGCTGAAAAGCTTTATGGAGATGAAGATTTCTTTTTTCAGCACGACCTGGCACCTGCTCACAGTGCCAAAACCACTGGTAAATGGTTTACTGACCATGGTATTACTGTGCTCAATTGGCCTGCCAACTCTCCTGACCTGAACCCATAGAGAACCTGTGGGATATTGTGAAGAGAAAGTTGAGAGACGCAAGACCCAACACTCTGGATGAGCTTAAGGCCGCTATCGAAGCATCCTGGGCCTCCATAACACCTCAGCAGTGCCACAGGCTGATTGCCTCCATGCCACGCCGCATTGAAGCAGTCATTTCTGCAAAAGGATTCCCGACCAAGTATTGACTATTGAGTGCATAACTGAACATAATTATTTGAAGGTTGACTCTTTTTTTTGTATTAAAAACACTTATTTTATTGGTCGGATGAAATATGCTACTTTTTTGAGACAGGAATTTTGGGTTTTCATGAGCTGTATGCCAAAATCATCAGTTTTAAAACAATAAAAGACCTGAAATATTTCAGTTGGTGTGCAATGAATCTAAAATATATGAAAGTTTAATTTTTATCATTACATTATGGAAAATAATGAACTTTATCACAATATGCTAATTCTTTGAGAAGGACCTGTATATGCCGGCCCACGATATACTCGCGGTGAAGTTCTTTTTTGTTCTGTGCTCGTTCTTTCATTCTCTTTAGATGAATATGTAAATACGTGCTGCATGCTTTCCTCACAATAACAAAACAAATGTTATCATAGTAACACAAATATATTACAACATAATAAATATGAATATATTAATATATACCTTGCTTGACCACAGTGCATTAACTAATACAATTTTAAAATGTTAAAATTAACAATGAACAATACAGTATTAACCTTAGTTAATGTTACAAATGAGCTCTTATTGTAAAGTTACCATTTCATATAAATCCAAACAGTCATGCTTACAGATAGCCTGTTAAAAACAAGAAAGCCCTCAAATTGATTTCTCTTTTGGATACGTGTAAATGAATTTAAAAAGCCCTTTTACCTTTTATTTTGTATTTTTGTATCTAATTATTTGTTCGTTTATTTTATTGTGATTTTTCTGTTTTGTTATTGATCACTTGATCAGTCAAAATATATATTACAGTTAAGATATAAAAAAAAATGTTGAGGTAACCCGCTTGAGGTAGGCCTTCTAATGTTTGCATCCTCTCTCAGCCTCCACGGCAAACATACTGCTGCTCTCCACATCTAGTCAACAAATAATAATGTGAAAACATGTACTGTGTATACCGTCCGTTTCATTGTATGCGTTAAATCCGCATCTAAAGTGTCCCACAATGTCCAGCGCGCAGTCTCACGTATCAAAACCTCTATAGAGGGGTTTCACGACGCGTCATCAATCCGGAAGTCGGCCATTTTGGAGGCACAGAACGTAAATAATGCCGCTGAACTGAATGGACTCGCAAATTTGGGTGATTATTGCTGCTAAAAAATGGTCGAGTTTTGGTCTGTACCAATCAGTCACATCGGGAAAAAACATGTTGAGTGCTATAGACTGTCAAAAGTTTAAAAAAAGAGTGCAAAAACTGATGAAAGAAGGCGTTTGTGGTTGAGAGAGGTACAGCATCAGCTACTGGCGCGCTGGACTACTGGAGGCTGGTATGTAGCCTACTGCTTTTTCCCCACGCTCGTCTGCGCCGGTTTCAGAAATAATAACGTTACTTTTCTGCTCGTCCGGCAATTTGCAACAACACAGCATTGTTTCGGCAGTGACTTTCAGCATGTTTCCTATAAATGACGTTTGCATTTTAAGACGTTCAGACTGAGGCTGATGTCCTGATATGTGATTTGAATAGGATTTCAAACCACATATGGATGTAACTTGAAACGGATTTCATGTGCTTTTTTGGACTGACAATCTGAACGTATCTTATGTCGGGATAATAAATAGATGGAAGAATGCAGTAATGTTATGTGCTAGAGAAGCTAACTCGTTCGGATCTTTACCACATTAACTTTAGTTTGTCAAAATGTTGCGCTCTCTCCTGCTTCCCAAGTCCTTCTCTATATGATTTCGCACCTACCACGTGTTTTTTCCGTGGTTTATTCGTGTAACAATGTGTTCAGTAGTACATAAACAGTGCAATCCATGCTGTTGTTTACATCCGAGTGCCTCCATAATGGCCGCGCATCCGGGTTACCGCCCAGAACGTGACGTTGGTGAAACCCCTCTATGATCAAAACAAACTCCAGTCCACGAGTGATGGTTTTTATTTCGCCTCTAGAGGCCGCTCTCGTTCAACCGCACTTGTTAGCGCATACGCAAAGTACCAGACCAGTGAGACCACTGATTCGTCAAACCTGCTGCTTGCTTGCAGTCTGTGTTCTTCTTCTTCCGACTTTATTTTGTAGTAAGTAACAAATATGCTTCGGGGAAATGTATCGGAGTACAATTATACATTTTATTTAGGAAATATAGTGGAGTAAAAGTGAAAGTTGACAAAAATATAAAAACTCAAGTAGCCTAAAATACTTGAGTACTGACTGTAACGAAGACACCAGTGAGAGTGACTATACATATAAATATGGGAGTGTAATTACAGTATAACACGTCACTGGAGAGAAGCACACTGCTCTTTGCCCTTGACTGTGGTGTCGCAGGAGAGATCAGCTCTGATGCTCTGATGGAGCGGCCGTGACGATGTACTGACGTAGCCCTCATCATCAGCTGCACACTGTGGAAACCCGCGAGAGAGCGCGGAGTGAGTGGAGATCTGTCCTGCGGCACTGCAGTCACTCTCACTGACGGAATATTCTTCATTAGACGCTCAATGATGGAGGTTCCACGCGTGGGACACAGTGTCAGCAGCCCCACGAGCCCGTGTGAGGACATGATAAAGAATCTCAGTCTGGACGCCATCCAGCTTTGTGGGAGAGAAGGTAAGAAGTGTTGCTTTTGTTCAATTTTCCCCCATTTTTTCCAGACAGGCGACCTGGAGTGGAGGAGCAGTGACATTTGAGCTTTCTAGACGGGGAAATATTGAAATGCATGCAAAATACAAAATGCAAATGTTGTATTTAAGGCGCATGCTTTTAAAGATCCTGATGCATACCCACTACAGGTCTGAGGAGCCGCGTGAGGTTGCTCAGCTATTCTGTCATTTGGCTGGATCTGGTTTGGTGTGTCATTGCATTCGAGCTTTCACTGAGATGTCATTTTAATAAACGCAAATGCAAACTCACGTGCTGAAATGCAAAATAAATAAATAAATAAAAATACAGTTTTGATGACTGTTCTTTGGGCGCTTGCATTATAAGACTGACACATAGGCTACTAGAGATTTGCGCCCGAGCTTACGTAGTTATTCTGTCTTTTCTTTTAAGATAGCATTGCATTTAAGCTTTCAAGACAAGGACTTATTATTTTAGTCCTGAGTTTCTTTGAAAAAACGACGTTTTTATGAATAAATCACATTTCCTAAGGAGCATGGATTTTTGATATTTATTATATTCCTTGTTTGGGCCATTGAAAGATGCATGTTCTCTGAGCATTAATATTCCTTGCACTTGAATGCTTGTTTCAGTATGATGCTCGCGTAACGTTCAGCACCATGGACACGGTCATTGCGCGCGCACAATACTGAAACAATACCGGATTCCAGCTGCATGCATCTGGCCATACGACCAGTGAGCAATTCACTCACTCACACCGTAATGAAACAGCAAAATTCTGAATATGCTGATTCATCTAGATGACACTGTGCTGTACATTGTTATATATGCGAATGTCTACAACTGTAAGTTCACAATTAATGGTTATGGACAGGGTTTACATGGGTGTATCCCAGTGCGTGCGTTTCTAGGCATACCTAGTCATTGATTTTCCAGAAAAAGCTCTCTTGCCTTTTGCTGCTCTGGAAAAGCAGTTTATGTAAATATAACATATTAGCTAAGGAGTGTAATATTAAAATACAAAGCATGTCATATTAAAGCACAAGAGCATTTTTTGTTTTGTTCCTTCTGTATCATAATGGCAGAATTTTTAGTGTTTCATATTCAATTGATTTTCTTTTTGTTGGCCAAGTCAATTAATTGTCCAATATTTGGTTATTTTGACATTTATCACATAAGTCGAATACATAACTAGAACTGACAGATGTGTCGAGCTCACAAAGTAAAGATAATGTAGATTTTCTGTTTAAATGCTGATTGGTGAATTTTGAGTAAATATTTCAAAGCAAATGCAAATGCATAAAAAGTTAAATTCAGAAAATCCTAATCAGTTAACCAGTAATAATCAGTACAAATGCAAGAAACAAGAAGTTATTATATCACATCTACAGATTTCTGGGGACTTGTTTAGCATCAGTCTCTCAGCGCTGAAGAAAAGAACATGCTTTGTCTGAGCTGATCGAAATTTCCTTAGAGCTCTGTTTTGTATTCTGTACCAGCACTGTGCAGAGGACCTCGAAGTCCCTTCAGCCATGCTGTCACAAGACAGAGAGAGACAAACAAAGAGAGAACGTTCTTATTGACACGGTCCAGTGTGGCATCGATGCTGTCACAGTCCTTTGAGTGATATAATGTGTGTGGACACACGACTCTATTGATTTCGATTCTATTGTATTAAAAGACTTTACCAAATAATCGTTCTCATGGACATTGCCAAGCTTTTCAAATGTGCCGTTATATCATAGATGCTACTATTTGCACTAGATATGTTAAAGTACATGGACAGAATCACAGACTCTAATCTCATTGGTTAATGGAGGTTGGACAAAAATGTGCGCAGATGTGGGCCAAGAAGGAACATGACGATGATATGATGAACATGACTGAGTCACAATGGGTACGTTCTGTTCCGACCCATCTGTCCCCTGAGTCTTATACTTCTCAGCGTGCCATTAACACCCCAACACCTCCCCTCACCATTTGTGTTGGCATAATAATGGACATCTGTGTCAGAGATTAGAGGAAAGGGTAACCAAGTTAGGAAGTAAACTTAATCCAACTTTACGTTGTCAAATTTTGGGACTTTTCAAATAATTTCATTGGAAAATATTAATTCTGTACGGCAGTTTTTCATTGCCCAGGATCATGGCTATAACTGCAATAGACACTGGGGACGACATAAGGGAATGATTCCCATCATTATTCAGATCAGTGGTAAACAAATATGGGTTTTTCAATGTCTGATTATTTATAAACTATTACCCATAATCCTAAATATGTGCAAAGTACCGATTTAAAATAATATAATAACTTTATGACATTTCTCTTCCAACATATTTATGCAAAACCTGTTCTATTAAAAATGTTTTAGGATTGAATGGTACAGGGTTGAAGATCAGCGGAAAAAAAACATCCTTATAGCTAGCAGATATTAAGACAGCAAGAAAAGTCATAAATAATAAAGACCAGCATACCATGTTCATTTCTGTATAATTTTTTTCATAGATGTTTTTGTTTTACCCATATTTTGAATTATGCTTATATTGAAGGAAATGTTCGTAAACTTGACAGGAAATGTACTGGGCCCGGTTCCCCAAAACGTTCTTATCGCTAAGTAGTTCTTAACCTATTCCTTAACCTCTTTCTTAACTTTATGGCACGATTCCCGACACGTTCGTACGCTAAGTATATCTTCTGTAAGTCACACTTTCGTAAGGTTGGTCTGGAGTCTGGACCATTCGTAAGCTCTCTCTTAGCAGTCGCCGCCACTGTACAGCAGTCTTTAGAAATCAGTGCAGCGCAGTACAAGTCAAACTATGGTATGTTGACAATGTTGTGGCTCAACAATGATTTTATGTTATGGACATTTTAAGACTAATAATAAAATATGTTCGCAATGGATACAGGCCTATTTATGAAGTTGACTTTATTTGGTATCAGAACTAATATAGTGGTAAGTAGGCTATTTCGTAATGTCATTAAAGCGTTTAAATTGGCAATCACTTTTGATAATTAAAATCTGGCAAACAACTTGGCTCTAAAAATCTATAAATGGGTAAGCATGGTGGTGTCCAGTAAGCCACCAACTATGGCAGCGATCCAACGTGTCCTTGTATTGAATCAAAGACGGCGCCGGCCGTGGAGCCGTTTAGTCCATGTCAATTTTTTTATTCGGCAAAACTTAAGCCCTTTTGACATTTTGCCTGACGTGGCTATATTAAAAAAAATTCGCCTCCCAAGACAACTCATTATGGAGCTGCTGGACCTTCTCAGACCTGCGCTTGCCAGGCTAACGCGGTGGAATTTTGCTTTAAGCCCTTAAAGGGTTAGTTCACCCACAAATGAAAATGATGTCATTAATCACTCACCCTCATGTCGTCCCAAGCCCGTAAGACCTCCGTTCATCTTCGGAACACAGTTTAAGATATTTTACATTTATTCCGAGAGCTTTCTGTCCCTCCATTGAAAATGTATGTACGGTATACTGTCCTTGTCCAGAAAGGAAATAAAGACATCATCAAAGTAGTCCATGTGTCATCAGTGGGTTAGTTAGAATGTTTTGCTCATCGAAAATACATTTTGGTCCAAAAATAACAAAAACTATGACTTTATTCAGCATTGTATTGTCTTTCGGTTCTGTTGTGGATCCGCGTTCAGTGATGACGTAAGACGCTGCTGACGTGTATCTGGTGTATTCGGGTTCAAATAAATATGGCTCGGCAAAAAAATGCTAATCTTCCTCTGTGTCAACAGAACCGGAAGAGAATACAATGCTGAATAAAGTCGTAGTTTTTGTTATTTTTGGACCAAAATGTATTTTCGATGTTTCAAAAGATTCTAACTAACCCACTGATGTCACATGGACTACTTTGATGATGTCTTTATTTCCTTTCTGGACAAGGACAGTATACCGTACATACATTTTCAATGGAGGGACAGAAATCTCTTGGACTAAATCTAAAATATCTTAAACTGTGTTCCGAAGATGAACGGAGGTCTTACGGGCTTGGAGCGACATGAGGGTGAGTCATTAATGACATAATTTTCATTTTTGGGTGAACTAACCCTTTAAGCCTTTAACCAATGGCAATCAATACCACATTAAACAGAAGTAACTGCAGCTGCTTGCCAATCAATTCTGATTGTAAAGTACCTTACCATTAATATAAAAGTGTATTACATCATTTTTAGAAGTCGTTGAACCCATGTCAAGAAGCGGCACAAGTGCCACAACGGGATAAGGAGGGTGGATGATTAGCGAGGGATACCCGGTTCGTCTACCCGTCACATATCGTGTGAACATATTACTGACAATTTGATAACTGAATTAATAGTCTATATTTTACTGATAACTTAAACTATGTTAAAAAATAAATGTCACTGGAATAATTTGAGGAATGTTTCATTTGCATAGAACGTGTTGTCTTTCTTAACGCCGTAATGCACCTTCGCGTGAAGTGGAAAATCGATTCCTGAGCAATCGATGCCAACTAATTCAGCACCTTCATTTGGGACAGCGCCTTTGTAACGTCGAACGTAAAAGGGAGCGTGTTAAGAAGCTTCCTAAGGGACACTTCGGGGAGCACACTTAGGAACATAAACAACTTTGGTTACATATATCTTTCGAGTCTTCTTGGCGCGCTAAGAGTGAGCGTTATCGGGGAACCGAGCCCTGGTCATTTTATGTGAGGATTTTTTTTCTTAAAGTGTAATATTTATATTTATCTTTTGGTTTGTGCCAAAAAATAAAGCGTTTTAGAAAAAATAATTGCCAGTAAAAGAATACTTCTCATCAAAAGCTAAATTTAGGTAGAATTAGTCTTTTTTCAGGCAACCCATTAAAATGCTAATGATTGGGGATATGCAAATTGGCAAAACAACCATAAAAAAACTGCATTACACACTAAACAGAGGTCAATCTATCAAACAATTAAATAAAGTATCCTCTTAATTCAGTCATTTTGAAACAAATAGCACCAATTTCCTGA